AGACCACAAAACATGGTGCCTTCAGGCTGCAGTTCAAACCAAGAATGAACCAGATTTGTGGAGGGGCACAATTCTCTTCCTGATATGTTGAGCGATTTCTTTTGATTTTCCCATGATGTCAGATAATAATGCATTGTGTTTAAGGTGTTGCCAGTATCTCTCTAATTAAGTCTTGTCAATGAACCCATAAGAAGATTACAAAGTCTTGTTAACATCACCTGGGCTTTCCTAAATTCTTTAAAGTCATAGTAATCTTAGTGTGTGTCAATTTCTGAGTTGGAAGAAACATTTAGTCTGAATTAGTATTGGATAGAGAGAGAAAAATGTTTGGTGTCTTTTGTACAATGTATGCAAACTTCTGGTTTCATCAGATGGTAAATAATATTTTTGGTTAAAACAAAACCCTGCTAACATTTTGGTTTGCACGTTTGCACGGTTTCGAGTTAGCAATAGAGACTCACAGTATGAACATTATCACCCCCACCGCCCAGCAGTCCACAGGACGGCCATATCGATGACGTGCAACCACTTCGGGAGCTGAAAGCACAGGAGCAAATGCAGAGTTTGTGTGTGAGGCAAATAGATTTGCGGGTTTTAATTTATCCTCCTCCACCTCATCAGATTCTCCAGATGCACAAACAGCTTTTCTCCAAGCCTGTCTCTCCCACTATTCAGTTTTTCACATCCTTCTTCCCACTGGCACCTACATTCTCTTTTCTTATTTACTGATTTCATTACTTGACTTATCAATATGAATAACTGCCCTGGCCCTGCAGAGAAGACCAAAGCACAGCTTAGCACTTTCAGGTCGCCCTCACATAAACATCGGCAAGATGGAGAGGAGTGAGACCGACCGCACGCAGAATCAAAAAGCAGATAAAAGGAGAAGCTAAATGGGAGGAGGAGAGCAAGGGCTGCACACTTTCAATCTCATTTATATTTTTCTGGGATGTAATGTTTCAGAGTGAGCATTTATCCTTGATAGATTTTTTTTTTTCTTCTTTCAAAGCGCTAAAGGTTCACAGAGAATTCAATAGGGTGAAGGACAACATCAATCTTCTGCTATGGTATGACACTTTATCCCAGAAAAGGTAAAAATAGATGAAAATAGGTAGAAAAGATAAGCAAAAAGGATAATCATAAATGAAGGAACATAAAAAAAAAAGAGTGACCCACCAAGGTATTCAGGTGTTCCGCATGGCTCTGTAATTGGTCCATTCTCAAATCTGGAGAGGTAAAAATCTCGCAGAACTACTTTGTTGTGGTTGTTTTCTGTGTAGTACATTAGGTTTTCCAGCTGTGAATTAAACAACAGATTAGAGAAGAATCGCTTAAGCATCAATGACAACTTATAGGTTTGACTGAATGTAATGTTTATTTCATAAATAGTGACTATGATGTTTTTATGATGTAAAGCACTTTGAACTGGCTTGTTACTAAAAATGTTCCATACAAATACATTTGACTTTACTTGATTACCTGATATGCCTTATTTCTCCTAAATTATTCAAACAAATAAACTTAGGACATTTAAATCTGAGCTTTTCTTAACCAAACAATGAAAAAAAAAACATATTGCTCACACCTTCAAATGGTCAATTGATGTGGGTTCTTGCTTAAGAAATGCTACATTTATAAACTTCCCAGAATGATCCACTCAGACATTTTGAATTGAATAAAGAGTCACTTTTTGGAGCACTGATGTAAAAAGATCGAGCACCATTATGCAAAATGCTTGTGAGAGGTTATTTCTGGTGGTTCCACGTCCACAAGTTGACGTGGAACTTTTCCCTATTTGTTCTAGTCAAACAAATAGGGAAAAGTGAAAACTGCTAAAATGGCATTTACATGTTTATACAATTCATGTTCAAGTCTGTGTTTGTTACCAATCATACTGCAAAGAGAGTAATCACGCTCAGCATATTTGTATTTTATTTGCAGTGCAATCTTGACAAAGAGGGGAGATGAAATGACTTCTGATTTTATAGGTCAAGCATGATTTAATAACGATATCAAGCCAAGCAGAGGCTGTAAGCATGACCTATTTTAATTTGAATATGTCACTGTGATTCAACTTGATGACAAAATGTAGGAGTCCAAACCTACTGGATTGAAGAGATATACCCACTTTCTACCAGTAGGTGGAGTCTGTAGATAGATAACTCTGTTGTTTCATTTTAATGGTGTCTTATTAAAAGTTAGAGACATGGATCTGTATGCTCTGTAAGTGTCACCAGACAGTCGTTTGAGCCATAAAGAAATTGTTTACTCCCACAGTGAAAATGAAATGTTAAGTATGTTATGAACTGAGAAGACAGAGAGATGCTTTCATCTGTCTCTTCAGAGAAATCTGTCAAATGCAGAGTGTTGCATCCTGGGATGTAATGGTGAAGAAGTCAGCTTATCCTATAAAGTTATTATCTTCTTACATCCACAGGCACAACAACTCGTCTATAGATAGTTGATGTCTAAACTATCTGAGGTAGCTGTAAAACTATTCAGACCTCTTGTTTTTGTTATAGCATTTACTTTGACATTGAAACAACAAACTTCAGCGTGCTATATTTTGATTTTGTTGGATAGCACTAAATAAAATCTCAGATAGAAACAAAGTGACTGTACCTTCAAATTCCTATGAACAATGTTGAGGGAGTGTAGGTACGCCACAGCCTCCAGGACTTGTCTGATAACATTCGAAGCATCTCTCTCTGTGTAATTCCCTTGGTCCAGAATCCAGTCAAATACATCCCCCCCTGTGGCACTGCAGAGAGTTAGACACACACACAAAAATATTTGCCACTTTGCACAGTGCCAAATATATTGGCTAATACACCTGCTGATTTTTTTTTAACAATGCAGATTAATCCTTGTATTGCTGTTAATGTGTTTTTACATAGTGCTTTGCGTTAGCTGGCCTGGAGCTTTCGCTACTGAGCAATTAAAGCAAGGCTCCTGGTTATTACTCTAAAGGACTTAAGTTATCTTTGGAGATAAATGATGAGAGTGATTATCACATATTGCTCTCAGCAGGACAACTATAGCCCAGACTGAAAAGTGAGCTCCGAAGTAGCTTAATGAACACAGTGACAAATGCAGTCGCTTAAACTAGTTCACTTCTCTGTGTTTTATTAGTGACATAAACTTCGTCCTGTTTGTTTTAATATATGTTATGACATTTAAACCAAGTTACAAATGTTGGATTGCACAAGACGTAATTTACGCATATTTGGTTGTGTCCCGGATTAATCAGTTCCGCTCTCCCTGCACAGACTTGTTTGTTCCAAAGCAATGCTTCAGGCCCACCGAGTAATGAGTGTTACAGATACTTAACATCTCATCAAATCTAACATCTTCCTTTGTTGCACAGGGGAGTTGGAGTACACAGTAATAACGGGAAATATTAAACATCTACCTCTCAACTGAAAGGCTTCTGTGTGCTAAGATGCAATTAACACATCGAATATAGGGAGCGTGGACAGGAAACGTAAATTGAAAGGAGTACTCACAGTTCCTGGATGATGAAGTATTCTTTTCGAGTTTCAAATGTATCTATCAGCTGAAGGATGTTTGGGTGATTGACCCTGGAAAACCCAAAATATGTTAGAGGTTGCAGGGGTCTAGGTTTGCAGTGACAAGCTTTTCAAAAAAATTGACAAAAAAATGGTTTCAGTTTATTCATGTACTTGCCTGCACTGGTACAAATCTGAAAACTGATACAAAATCTTGAGCCACAAACACATAAAGCAGAGAAAATGACAAATACCCGATTCCAGCTTCAAAAATGTATGTAGACCTCATTTAGATTTAGGGATTTTTATTTTATTTTTTTTCATATTTGTGATTTTACCTGTACCTTTTCTCAAGGTTGAAATCAAGCAAAACTGCTTGGTCAAAAATTGGTTTAGGCTCAGAGATAAAATTAAAAAGTCAGTAAGCAATACAAAAGTGCAGTAATAGCACTTTTGTGCTGAAACTCAAAGATCGCTCAATTTGATTTTGTGTTATATAAATAATTGAAACCCCTTTTGTAACTCTGACATTGCAATGTTATAATATTCTACAGCAGTAGATATTACAGATGTTTACATATTTGTACTAAACATATGTATTTCAATTTAAAGTTTTATTTAACAAATTGCACATGATGTGCAAGACACTTTCTAACTAGAGAATATGTTCAGTTTGTTCCACAGGGAAAATGTCAGCCGCACAGCAAGAGTCATTATTTCTAGGCAGAACTTTTAAATACAGCTGGACTGTGACCAAGTTCTTCAGAAGACAGAGAGGATGCAGCGCAAAGTGCTGCCAAGTCATATGAGTAATGGAGCATTAAAAAAATGAATGGTATCTCAACATTAATAAAAGCATGAATAATACACGATGAAAGGTCCTGAACTTATTATATGCATGAATGTAATATTTCTGACAAACAGCTCAGCTGAAAAAGCATATTCCTTCAAATCAAAGGGACACGCTTCGGAGCTGGATCTTTTCTCTCTTTTATGTTTTTTTGAGATGAGTTTAAAGATGACTGCTCGTTCTTTATGGACACGAGTTTGTCTCGACTAAAACGATATTAAAACTTTCTAATAATCATCTGAAATCAACTCTAGATGTGAAAAAAAAAAACATTCACTTTTATACCAAAAAAAGTGAATAACTGATAACTGAAATTTACTGAATACCTGGAAAGATTTTTTGTATGGAGAAACTATTTGTATTGTGAATTTGTCAATTCTTTTACTCACAAACTACTATCAAAATATTAAACGTTCTGCATGGAGGTCTCTTCTATGCCTTCTCATCTTTAGTTTGATTATAATTTGATATTTGAGTCAGATCACTGGCTGGGCCACTCAAGCAGATTTACTTTCTTTTTATAAGAAGTTGAGAGTTATCTTAACTCTAGGTTTGGGATTATTATTTTTGGATTATTGTTTTGTTCTTAAAAAGCATCTTCATAAAGTATCTTCATAAAGTACACTATGTGTAAAGTACAGTATCCTTTTTTTCTTCCTTTAAGTCTGACTGCCAGTATCATATGTTAATAATCATATAACACACCAAGATGTTCTCACCTCCAAACTTGTGTTTGAATTATGTTTTCTGCTCCAACCAACCAGCTGAGAGTCTGATTTCCACTAATATAGACCAATATTGTATTCTAAAGAAGAGGAGATTTCAACATCCTTTCACTTTATTTACAGAGGACTTAATTAATAGGTTAATTTACTGATTGTTTGCGAATGTGTGGCTTACTTGGGTCATCAGCCACTGCGGTAAATTTATGGTTGTTAAACCCATCATTAAATTTACTCAGATAAACATTGACAGGTTTGAAACGTATCTTCCCTGTTGCAAACTTAATTCAGGTTTCATTATGGGTCAAGTTTAATTAAAACATCTCATAAATGAATTGCTCTTTTCGCTAGCACATACGCTGCTATTTCTATTTGCGAACTGATTACATACAATTTTAAGATCATGATCTCATTTTTGGCGGCCTTGCGGACTTTCCTCCCGTCCTTCTTGAAGAATTTCTTGCAGACAAACACCTTTTCTGTTTGTCTGTCCTTTGCCAGGCACAGCTCACAAAACTCCTTCCTACACAGCGAGAAGAAAACAGGCAGACAAAAGGGAAGCAAACATAAATACAATGTCAAAGAAAAGACTAAACGAAGCATCTGTTCATTTTTTTAAAGAGCCTCGTTTTGCTACAAGTTTCCAGAGTAAACGAGATGTGATATTCAAATTGGAATAAAGCAAACGCTGGCTGTGTTGTGAAATACCCAGAAATAATTTAGTTGGGAGGTGAGCCACTGGCTTAAATAAAAGGGGCTATAAATAAGAGATTTTGCAAAGGATCTATTGCTGCCATCGTCTGGGAATCATTAGGTTTTTATCCTTCGAGGGCTTATAGGGCTTCATGCAAATGAATTTTAAGAAGTAATATGATGAAAAATAAAACTATAAAAAAGTACATAATGAAGCTTTAATATTAGGTTTTATTCTGTGGTTCTGTTTAATTCTTTTTTGAAAAAAAATATATTTTTTTCTTCTTTGCTCATTTCCCTCCAATTAGAGGACATACACTGTTATTTTTCAGTGCAGTTTTATTATCTTTATGAACATTTATATACCCATTTTTAACAAAGAAATGTGTCGTTCAGCCTGCTTTCTCACTGCTAATATGATTGTGTGTATTTGTATGCGTGTGTTATGCAAAATCTGAGCAGGAATTTCTGAAGCCAGATGCTGATGTCGCCATATGGCCTCTTTCACCAATTGGTATTCATGCATATGGTTAGAGTGCACATATGTGTGGAGTGTGCTGAAGAAGAAAATGAAAGGTTCTTGAGCAGCAGGGTCATTTTTTGTAGACCTGGGGATGAAAATTAGAAAAATGTGCCACAGAACGAGCTAAATGTAGAATAGTGGTATAAAGAGCTTGAGAATAATCAGATGACAGTTCTTCTAAGATCCACCAAACTCTAGATTTATGCTTTACTAAAGTTAAACCCTTAGTTAAACTTGTTCAGACTAAAGCTAAACAATTTATGCACTGGTGGTTCCTGCATGAAAGGTAATGTTGGTGAGCCGCTTCTTCTACCAAAATACAGTAAAGTCACCTTAAATTCTTATTTAGGAAAAATGCACAGCACAGAACCATATTGTCATTAAGCAGGGGGCTTCAGCTCCCTATTAGCTAGATGGGATTGAAACAAATGAGACACTTTTGTTTTTACATACTACTGTAAGAGAACTTTCTTAATCTCATTATGTTGACTCCCCATCCCTCAGTGAACTTTTCCTCTTCCGTAATAAGTACCAGTTGTGCACAAACGTCCGCAGCGGTAAATAAATTCCTGAAGCAGTTAAAAAAACTATCACTAATCATATGGAAGCTCAATTCGCAGCTCATATTTTTGGCTTTTAAAACAAGTGAAACACTTTATACCAATGTATTACCAATATACTTCCATCTACAAGGCACATTAATTCAGTCAATTATAAGATAACTAGCTTATTACTACTACTAATTAATATTAAGCTAACTCACTAAGCTACACTGAGTTTTGTTTTCAATCAGTCTGACAGCTGTATCGGTTTGCCCGATTAGCTGATAATGTCTCTAGCCAGATACGTTCTAAATAACTACAAAACCTGAAAAAGCACACAAACAAATCATCTTTGATAACACTGCACACATGGAAGCCAATCACAAAATCTGAGTTTACTTCATTCAAGCAGCCACTGAGGATTTGTGTACATTTCCACCAACTTACTACAACATGGCCTCCATCTGCTACAAGTACAGAAACTAATAATGACGTCCCAGAAACTTATTTAAAAAATAAGAAGTACCCTAAGGCACTTAGAAAAGGTTAACAGTTTCCAAAAGTCCACCCATAAAACTTCATGGTACTTACGCTCGAAGGACTTGACCAAACTCATATTTGTCCGTGACATCAGATATGCTGTCATAAATCCGCCCATCTCTCAGGGCAAGGCATCCAAATGGCATCACGGCATTCACCTAGTAAATAAAGAAATTAATTAAGATTGTATTATTATTATAACTATCAGGCGAGTTAAATAATTACAGCTTTACAGAAAAAAAAGAAAAAAAAAAGAAAGTACGATCTGCATTAGTCAAAGGCACTAGGCAACTGTCGATACAAAGATTCTTGATGTGGTTTTCAGTGTTAGTGACTTGTAGAGACAAACAAATCAGTTTCCCATCAAATCTGGAAGCTAATGCCTCTGGCAGCCTGGTTGCGTGCCAGACTTGTCAACAGATACTAAGCTTCCTGCTAAGCTCCTCTGTGCACTACTAATGTCTGCAGATTGCATGCAGCGCCTGTTAAGTTTTCACATTAAACTTTAATAATCAAGGGCAATGCCCGAAAATAAAAACAAAAAGAGATGCAAGCAGCTGAGTTATTTCAGAGCCATGTGCAATTCTTTTGCACAACACAACATGCATTTGGTTTTACTGGGGAAAAAAATGAATAAATAAATATAACATCCATATTTAAACTTTCGTTTGTGTCTTGAGTTATATCGCTACTACAGCATATACAGTTTGCAGCAACACACAGATTGATACTTGTCTTCCACCTTACAGTAACTCCCTCTAGCAATGTTGCACATGTCATCATATATATAAATAAGTTTGTGTGTGTGTGTGTGTGTGTAGTACTTTGGTAGATAAATAGTACCCAGAACATAATATGAGGCCTTGAACACCCAGGTAAAACAACAGGGATCAAGACAGTGAATCAGCAATCAATATACCATCTCCGTCCTCCGGCAGTCCTCACCCACATCCTTTATACGCTCCATCTAGTGTAGAAAACATATTTCTTGGAAGGTCCAGTCATCCATCCCCATGACCAATCTCCTCCTCTAAATACCTGACTTCATCCATCTCTGTTAAACGCTTCATTTCAGTCCTGTCTTTAAAATAGCGCAGTTTATCTTCTCCCTGTGTGGTACCCGTCTCTGCATTTGGCCGACTTAAGATCTGAACATGATAGTATCAAATGTAAACTTCAAGAGCGTACTCGCATTAGAGAGAATGTCTAATTGGACATAATTTGGGGGAGGGGGAGAAAACGGGCGATACAAACACAATGAATCTGACAGGCAGATGAAGGAGAAATAGACAGGGGAAATAGCACTTTTTAAGACTGAATATTTTAAAAAAATATATCGCTGATGCAAAATTCTGGCTGATGTTTTATGAAACATCACCACTGGAGATGATCGGGCCAGAGGTGCTTTGGGCCTTTGGTGGAGGAGGGGCTGGAAGAGTTCTATGTAATCCAACCGCTGGCCCTAATCTCTAATCTGTACCCCTAATCCAGCATGCTAGTATACGCTGTGTCTGTGCATGTATGTGCGCAAGTGAAAGTGAGTGACTAAATAAGTGCAAAGGTTACTTGAATATGGCACATGTGCACATGGTAAGGCAGAGCAGAAAGGTGCACAAAATTGTGGACTTGTGCATCCGACTGTGTGTCCCTAAAGGAAGGAAATGACAGCAGGCGAATTGAGTGGCAGATTGAATAGACCTTGTGTTTTTTTTAGTTTTTTTTGTTGTTGTTTTTTTTTTTTTAGAAGATTAGATAAACACTACAACATTTCCACAACAAGGGCCAGGACAGTAAAAGTGAAGATGGTATAACATAAAACAAGCCCAACCATCAAAAGTCTTCTTCTTCACTCACAAAGCTCTCAATAACTAGTTCCCATAATATCATAAAGAGTCTAGTATGTCAGATTAAAAGTATCTTTTTTGAAACTAACAACTTTTAAGCAGGTATTAAACATACTTTTCATCAAACTCGTGTTTCTGTTTCTGTAAAACTAGACTTTTATTGTTCTGATGTAATATTTACGTATGTTTTCTGCAAGTGGAAAAGTCAAAAAAGGCGTTTAAATATCAATTTGTGTGAAATTAATCTACATAAATAGTTTTAAGTCATAATTCAAAGTCGATTTTGAAGTCTTTATTTCTTTGCGTTGACTGGAATCTCATCTAGTGCTCGATGAATGTCAGTTTAGTCGATATATCCACCAAATTTCCGGAAATAATGTTAGTTTGTGTCTTGCAACCTTCAAGAATGATCATATTCACATGATACCACCAAAAATGTGTTGTTTCAAAGACTAAAGCTATCCAAAAAGGAAAGAAAAACTACAACAAATGAGCCGGGGGAGTGTAAAAAGGCGTCTAGCAGAACATACCACCTAAAAACAGAAACAACCTGATCCACTGCAGTTTTTGGTCAAAATAAAAATGCTTATTTTGTAAATATGATCTGATGTGTTTACATGTTCCCAATAAGCCTATCTCTCTATTGCATTAAGCATAAGTCCAAGATCTCCACTTTAGTCTGATAGATGGCAAAACAACCCTCTTCTGCTGATTTGTTTTCTTAAATTTCATCTTCAAATAAAATTCAGATTGATTTTATAACTGAGGAATCCAACATCCTTACTCAATAACAAGAAAAGTATACCCACAGAATACTATGTCAGTATAGACCTTAGAGTTTGAAAAGAGTATTAGTGGGAAGATGTATGAGAGAAATTTGGAAAAACAAAAAATAAAAAGGGGAGAGAAGGAATGAAAATAATGAACTGTGAGGTAAGAAGAGAATTACAGAAACAGAAAAAAACAGGGAGAAATGTGGACTGTGCCTGAGTGGAAAGGTGTTTGGAGGAAACTACACAAAAAGAACAGTGTTAAAGAAGATAACTGCAGAGGCAGATTGAGAGCACCTGTCAACCTCGCAGCTCTCACGCGGCTGTGAGAATTTCTGCAAAGGTGAGCTTGCATACTGCACATGTTGGTTTCATGTGAATATGTGCTAACAAGCTTTATGTGATAATTTCACATGCTTCTTCGTGATGATATGAAAGGCTGTCCCTGACGTTGGAAAGCACATGAAGACGCTGCGATCATCCTTCACAA